GATTTATGCTGTATCATTTTTTTTGAGAAGTCTATGAAAAAATTGTTAATGTAAGTATATCTTTCTATATGTAATAATTGTATAAATTAATTATTTTTCTATTGATATATTTTTTTGTTAGTTTGTTTTTCTATCTTCTTTTTTTATTTTCTTTTATTTATTAATGTGTGGTTATTTTTTATGTAAACGAAGAAAAAAAGATAAATTTAAACAATGAATGAAATGAATATGTTGACAGCTGACAAATCAATGACATATATTACAAAATTTTATCTGATGGAACATACTGTAATATTTTCTTCAAAAAATTTTTTCAAAAATCATTTGACTTCCATAATTTACTTTTTTATTTATAATTGATCTTTTCAATTTTTATTTGTTTTCTTTTATTTTTGTCATTTATTTTATTTTTTCTTTCATTTTCTAATATAGTGGGATACGAGTTGCTCTTCTACTATTGTAATTTTCTTCTTCTTTTTGTTAACTAAGATTGTATTTACAATAAAAAATATTATATATTTTATTAATAAGATGTGATTGAGTTTATTATTAATTTAAATATAATTAATATTGATATGGTATAAATCAATTTAATGAATAAAAATTGTATTATCATAATAAATTTATAGTAATGAAATTCTTTATATTATATTCATTTAAAAGTTTTAATTCACTTTTTAAGTTGATTGTTTCGAAGAGAATTATATTAATATTTATCTATTTTTTGTTCAATATTATCTATCAATTATATATTATCAAAGATTTAAATGTTTGTCAAGTGAAAAATAAGTGATATAAAAAGGAGAATATATTTTTTATAATGTTTAGTATTACTATAGTAAATTTATGGTATTGAATATATTTATATTAAATTAAATTATATTTTATTCAAGATTTTTTTCACTTTTTAAAGTTGAGTGTATTGAACATAATTATATTTTTGGATTAAAATATCTTTTACTCTAAAATTTTTTATTGTATAGAATTAATAAAAATTATTTAAAAAAGATATTTTATATTAATTTTAAAATAAATACTTGAGCTCTTTAAATATTTTTTATTTTATTAAATAAAATATACAAGGTATGTTTTTGAAGATATTGACTAAGTATTATATTATTTGAAAATACTATTAATTAAAAAATATCATTATTTTTTCTTTATTATTGACTAGCCGCTATTTATTGCCATATTTATGATTTCTTTAATTTTTTGTTTGTTGAATTAAAAAAATTCATTGTTTTAAAACTGATAAGTTAGATTTTTTATTATTCATATGCTAAACTGATAATTAAATGTGAAATAATATACTTTTATGTAATTTAGACAAAAAAATTATTTTCTATTCAACAGTAATTAATAAATAAGTTCCTTGATGGTAATTATTTAATTTTTAAAAGAGAGTCACTTTATATATATATATATATATATATATATATATATATATATATATATATATATATATATATATATATATATATATATATATATATATATATATATATATATATATATATATATATATATATATATATATATATATATATATATATAAAAGTTAGATTTTTTATCATTCTAAATTGCTAATTGAATGTGAAATAATATACTATTATGTAATTTAGATTAAAAAAATTAATTTTCATTCAATAGTAATTAATAAATAAGTTTGTTGATGGTAATTATTTAATTTTTAAAAGAGAGTCAATTATATATATATATATATATATATATATATATATATATATATATATATATATATATATATATATATATATATATATATATATATATATATATATATATATATATATATATATATATATATATATATATATATATATATATATATATATATATTGAATGATATTGATTTTCATGTTATAACTTTTTTATTTATTTATAAAATTTCACGGAAAATATTATAGTATAAATTTATACCATTTATTATTATTATTATTATTATTATTATTATTATTATTATGAGTATACATTATATATAATTATATTTACTAAAGTATATATATTTATTTAAAATAAAATTTAAGATAAATATCAGAACATATATCGACAGTCTAGTTAACCTAATAAATAAGATATTAAAAAATATTTAAAAAACTATCTTTTACGTGTCTTGCGCATGAGTCAGAATCCAAAAAAATATATTGGTGTTTAATGATAAAAGATATGTTAATACAAACACAATAATATTAATATCCTAGTAGGATATGAGTGTTCATTATGGGTCTTCATCGATTTTGATATTAAAAATTTCATCTGATTCGACACAACTGAATGAATTTAACTTGAATTAATATTTGAATATTTAAATTACAATCATATATCTTTTTATTAATATTTATTATCAATAAATTTAATATATAAAGTTAACATATAATATACTAAAAGTAGAAAATAAATAAATAATGATTTATAATGTTCAAAACACATGAAATAAATAAATATATTAAATTCAAAGTATTATTAAAGGAATTTAAGTCATATACAATATCGATGTAAAGAATTTTTATATGATTTCTCAGACAACACCCTTTAAATTATTAGAGATGTTTGACTCTTCTCATTCATATTTTTAAAGTTGTAATTTTTAAAGTCGTGTCAATGAATTACTGATAAATGTTTGACATTATAAATTTTTTTTACGCTGAGAATATATAGTATATAACAATTAAATATTTATTTAAAACAAAAAATAATAATAAATTAATATAATATATCATACTAAAAAAATATAAAAAAATTTATGTGCAGTTTGATTCAATTGTGTGTGGTTTTAGTTTAGATATATGTTGGATGTAAAAAATGAAAAATAAAATTTTACTAAAGACGAATTGTTCGGATTCATTTGAATTCGATTTTTGGTGGTAACAAGACTTAACTAATAAATCGTTCTAAAAATTATAAAATCAGATTAATCGATTTATTATATAGATAAAATCTGATTGACTAAATAAAAAACTTTACATTATAATTATTTTTGTTTATGAGGACGTGGATATGACATTGTAGTGAGTAAGGGTTAGATGTGTCCTAAATAAATAGTTCTAAAAGTTAATGATCTATGCCCCTATAAATGGTTCTAAAAGTTCATGTGAAGTGAGTGAAAATGAAGAGATTGCCATAACTTTGAGTGTTGAAAAGGTTGATTATGTCATCGTTTTGAAAAGTACATGTCTTTATACATCATAATCAAACTCTTCATTTCTAAAAGAGAGGAGTAGATTCTTCATACACACAAAATTGAGGTGTAAAGTATGTCCCAAATAATCCGACCCATTCAGAGTGCCAGAGTGGTGCAAGTTATAATACTATTTTACCCTCATTGAAAAAAAATGTGTTTCTTTCTAATATATTTTTATCTCAAATTATTAAAATATTTTAAAATATAATCCAAATTAATAAATATGTCCTTAAATATTAATTTTTTTTTAAATCTATTCCTTTTTGTATAATTCAATTTGTACTTTAATGTGGGCTTATTTGATTTAATTTTATAAAAATATTTTTTAGTTTTTAATATTTAAAAATCATAAAATTTGTTTGGTAGTATAGTTTTACAAAACTATTTTTGAAAACTATATTCTACTTAAGAGTTTTAAAAACTAAAAATCTAAAATAGATTTTTAAAGTTTTGGTTGAGTTTTTAGTTTTGAAAACTATAAAGAAGAAAATACAAAGGAAAATTATATATTTTTATTATTTTTATTAATGACAAATTTATAATATTTTACAATTTTAAAACAGTTTTTAAAAGTAAGATTACTAAATATGTTTTATTTTATTTTTTTTCTTCAAAATTATTTTTTAAAATTGATCTACAAAGTAGCTTTTAAAATCTAAAAACTAAAACATATTCAAAGAGACCTAATTGTTTCTCTTTCAATTAACTTTTTTTTACATATGAATAAAAGAGAGAAAGATAAGAGAAGGAGAGAGAGACATGTGAGAGATACTATTTTTTAAGTAAAAAATTCAATATAAAAAAAGTATGTTCATATTTTTGATAGTTTATAGTTAGGATAAAGAGTAGTTGTTTCATCGTTTAATAGTGAACAAATTTTTTTCATCTTTTTATCAAATCTCCTTAGTACTTGTTTTGGTACTTCAAACTGCAAAAATTAGTTGTCACCCTTAGTCTCCTTTTTCATATCATAAGTACATTCTCAAATTTTTAAGAAGCTCTCAGAAGGTTAGTCTAGGTTTAGCTAATGACAAATCAAATATAGATTATATTTAACCATAATTTAACTGCGATAAATATTTGTTAAGATCTTTTTAACTACAATTTAAGTGCGATAAATTTTGAATCATTTACAGTAGTTCGCCTTGCACGTCGTTAAAGATGGTTCTTCTTATAATCCACCAAGATTATGTAGATATATTTGCAAAGTGAACCAAAGGGTCACGTTTTCCATCCATTAGATATTAGTTTAGAACATTATAGGCTCATTGCCTTAATTGTAGAACAGAATATAAACATTTAAACCACATGGCTTCACTTCATAAGAACCATCTCTCATTTAGATTCCCACTACTTTTAACTCCCCTAAACAATTATCTGTCAATTTGGCAATTCTCTTTTCCTTAGCACCTCAAATGAAATAGCAAAAAGTTGATGCACAATGTAATGCCATATAAACTCATATTTGTAATGTCAAATATACACGCCAAATGTATTAAACTCACATTTCCATTCCAGTTGTATTAGACAAGAAAAATTATCTTAAATAGCAATTAATGTTCTTTTTGACTTTATAGTATTAGCATATGACATAATGCATACCAAGATAGAATGCATAATAAGATACTTAAAACAGACAAAAAAACAATATCTCCATAGAAAGCTATAGTCTCAAGTTGTTCCCTATTGCTGCAATATTCCCTGCATAATAAATATCGCAGTACTGAAAATCGGCTAGTGCTTAATCGCCTATACAATTGCTTTAGACAACACGAAAGGAGCCATATAGACTTCAATTCAGCTACGAATTTGAGTTCACTTGATTTTGAAGTTGCACTGTAGTTTGGTTGTAGCTGGGAAGGCTTGGTTCTGGGGTAATTACACCTTGAGAATACAGTCCTTCTTGCATCATCATTTGAGCGCGCTGCTGCTCCTCTAAAGCTTGAAATGCTCTTCTATATCTGAGTAACTCGGAAAGTATTGAACTTCCGCTCATCATTACACCAAATCCAGCAAATGATGCAAGAAGGATTGCTAAAACTGCTTGCTTACCAACCTGCGCGATACCAAACTAATAGAATGAAGTTAGTATGTTTGTGATTCTTCGTGTCGGGACTTGGTACATGTCAAGCTTTTGTAAAGCCAAAGCGAATCCAAAATCTATTACCAAGGGGTAAAATATATGTGCGAAGATAACAACCAAGAGAAATTGTGCAGATGCATAAAGCCAGATGAACCTATTCCTCACTGGACAAAAAAGAGAGATTTTATGTCATTTTAGATCATACAAAAGCTTCTATAGATAGTGTTGACTGTGATGAGTTCCTCGAAAGTATATTGACCCTATTATTCAGGGAAATTTTGCAAACCTACCCATGGTTGTTGATGTCATGGCGGAGACTAGACCCAGTACACAGGAGAACGGAAGAGAAATGAAAATTGCTCGGGTTTTCATTCTTCCAACCTGCATAGAGTTGAATTAATTAGTTTATGCCTATGTTTGGTAACACGGCGGGCCATCGCTGCTGCACATTTAAGGCCTTTTTCAACCGTGATTTTGAGAAGCTGGTATGTCTAGCTTCTGTCTCACCGTGATTTTCATGTTTTCCAAACACGCACTATACCGAGTTGTAACTTTGAGAGAAATGAGAGGACATTTGTTCTTACCAAAAGCTGCTCAAGGAAACAGAAATAAGCAAGCATGCTGACAATGACAAGCACAGGTAACTCCTGCCAAACCCTGTTAAATTGTGCACACAAATTGAAGTGTTACCGGTAGCAATTACTTTTAGTACAAGAAAGATACAAAGAGAACGCTATATTCCATTTATAAACCAATGCACTTGTATCGACCGCAGAAATCCCAAAACAAAATTGACTACATGATAATATTCTGAAGAGTAAACTGAAATCTACAACTTCAATACAAGCAGATCATAGATCGTGGGAATAGTGGTTTGATCAAATTTCGCTACGCAATAATGCTATAGTGCATGAAAGTAAACTAGTTTGGTTGGCCCCATATTTTCGACATTTTCATAAATAATATGCCATATAAAGAAGTTGCCCATAAGATCTCAAGATATGCATATATCTCAAACGAAGCATAATGTATACGAGTAATAGTTTTTATCAAATGAAAAAAACTGCACATGCCTGAAGTCGTCTTCCTGCTGAGACCTTGCTCCGGTATTCTGAGTTTGAACATTTTGGATGCGTAAGAGAGTGACAGGGAGATTCTGAACTTCTTGCTTGCACACATCACATGTCTTGTTACCCCTGATACTGAACCACTTGATAGCGCATTCTTGGTGAGCCAATGCAAGTTCACCTTTGCAACTGCATTCCATCTTCAGCGTCTCACCTCCTTCACATAGCTCAATCAGACAAATCCTACACACAGCTTCCTCTTCAGCTATATCTTCACCGTCATCACCGCCATTTTCTGAACCATGAAAAAATTTTAAGTCGAGTTAATGAAAATGTATAGAATTGGAAACAATCAGCTTTTGTATTGTTAGACTTAATACCCGTATCCTTTTCTGCAGAAGCTTTTAACCATTCTTTAACTTCCTTTGCACCTGGGGTGGAAGGAATAATGCGGAAAAACTTATCCATTTTCCTTATGATTTTTTCTTTGCTATCTACCGGCTCTGAACGAGTGCGAGCTATCGACCCCTGGCTTCTCTGCAAAAGGATCAAATTGGTTAAAACAAAGGATATACATGCAAGATTTGGCAACCACTAAAGAATATAAGAATTAGGACTAGAAAGTGGAAAGCATGCTCATTCACACAAACACTTACAATATAAACTGTTCATCAAAATAGGACTTAACAAGTTAATCAAAAGACAAAATAACCACTATTTCAAAATTGATATTATAAGTTAAAAGCCTTACATATGGAGAAGCACCAAGACATCCACCAAAAGCAAACTCATTATTAACACGCCCGATTTCTTCAACCGGTAGCGAAGAAGTTCTATAAATCTTAGGAGCAAACAGCTTACTTAAAGACACTGATCCTGATCCAGAGACAGAAGGCTTCTCACAAGGACTTTCCGGAGCCAAACTTATCGCCTTTTCAACATCAGATGATGAAGTCCTATTATACGGAAAGTTCAATTTCGGCATAATACTTCTAGCACTCGACGATTTTCCTCTTGTGGTCAAATTCCCTAGATTGTTACTATCACTATCCACAATTGGAGCAGCATCAACAGAACGTGAAGTCACAAGAAAATTCACCTTCTTGTGAGTTGGAGTTGGACTCGGTGTTAATGGCATCTTAATCGCAACAAATTCGTTCGAAAATGATGATGACGAACCAGACGATTCTTCTGATGTTTTGTAGGGTATTTCCATTAGAGAATTTTCCTATAGGTAAAAATTTCATCAGCTACTAACTAACTATGACAACAATTATGATAAATTTATTTCAATTAACAAGAAGAAAAACAAAGTAAAGTACCTTGTGAATTGGAAGAGAAAGTGTTCTTTTGCAAGAAGAACTCATATTGTGGTGAGAAACAAAAGCACAAGAACATGAAATATCAAATATGAATGAATTTAGTGAGTGGTATAAGCAAGGTTTATATATGGAAAAGAAGTGAGAAATGAGATAAAGTTGAGCATTTATGAAACAGAGTTTTTTTGTTTCATCACTTCCAACTACTTTGTATTTTTTTCTTTCCTTTTCCACAATCACCGCGGACTCTATGCCTTTAACATCATCAAATATATGCGGTGTAATAAAGGTTAACATTTCATGTTAGTTTTCTTGTGGTGGTCACTCTTTTTTTCGTGCATCAAGACATGTGCTGATCAGTGAATCATTTTGGATCTTTTTTGATATATGTTTTTACAACTCATTTTTTCTTTTTTTGGATAAATCTATTCTACTCTTTAGAGAGCACTTTAGTGCTCTTTAGTCTTTTTTTGGATACCCTTTTCTTCATTTTCCATTTTCAAGTTATTTATATAATATTTTTGGAGGATGTTATTTATATTAATAAATGATAAATATACTCTCTTTATTTTATAATAAATGTTTCTTTTTTAAATTTTTATATTTTTTAAAATAATAATTAATTATATTGATTTCAATGATAAAATAAATATTATTTAATGAAATAACTTTATTAATACCCCATCCATTCCTTTTTAAGTATCGTTTTAGAAGAATTTTTTTGTTTTTATTTAAGTGTCATTTTTATAGTTTAATGTTATCATTTGTCAATTATTTCTCTACTTTCTCAATAACTCTACTTCACATTTTCCATAAAATTAATTATTTTCTCAATTAGTTATTGGAAAAAGAGAGATGATATATGATTGAATTTATTTGAAAAGAGAAAATAAATGAGGGTATAATAAAAAAAATAACTGTAGTAATTCACTATCTTGGTTGAAGAGTTTTATGTTAAAATGACACTTAAAAAGAAACAGGGGGAGCAATAGATAATAAATTATTTTTATGATTTAAAATATAATAAATAAGGATAAGTTATTATAAATAAATAATAAATATCATATTAATATTTTTAAAAAATAAATAATTTAAAAAAAAAAGAAAAAAGATGACACTATTGTAAAATGGAGAGAATATTAAATTTTATTATTTTATAAGGAGTTATTTCTCTAGTTTTGTTAAAGAATATTTGAGAAATGATATTTTATTTAATAAATGATATTAATAGCCATTTTAAATGGAAGAGATTGGAAGTCAGCATTTTAAAGTTATGAGATTAAACTTTTATAATAAATAAGCATTAAATTCGGTCAAATTTGCATTAAAATCACAACAACAACAAAAACAACATAAAAATACAAAAAATTAGCATCGAAATCTTTTTTTTTTTTTTTGGTATAAAGCACCAAAATCTTTTTAAACCAGCATTAAAATTATTTTGCTATTCCACATATGTCTTGTGGACTAAAATGAGATCACACCTTAAATAAATAAAACAAAAATACTATTTACAAAAGCAATTCAACATGACACAAGCAAAATGACTATTAGAATAACACTTCAACGTTACATAAGAATTCAAAATATTTAAATAAATGTCTGATACTTATTTGTTGCTATGTACTTTTGCATAGTCATTTTTTATCCCCCTATTTGCTCCCAATTACGTTACCGTGTGCCTTGTAGTGGACTTTAGTGAAAGAAGATAAATAATAAATATTCTCAATTATTTTAGTCAAGGTTTTATCCTACATAAACAATATTTTATTCAAAAGAAAATCTTATTTGAATCAAAAGAGAAATCTTTAAATTCACTAGTAAAATACTCATGTGCTCATACAAATAAATTTATATAAATTTTATTTAAATATATCTGTAAATTTGAAATTTATTATTAAATTATAAAATAAATAATAATAATATAAATTTAAATGTATTAAATAGTTATACAAAAATAAAAAATATCTTTAAAATGAAGAAAGGAAAAAAGTTAAAATTTTAATATTTAAAAATAAAAATTTTGTATTTTAAATAAAGGCAACTGTTAATTAAAATAAAATAGGTATTTTGCTGATAGTGACACGTGAAAAAAATTTTTAACATTTGAAAAATAAAAATTTTGTGTCTCAAATAAAGGTAATTGTGAATTAAAATAAAATAGATCTTTTGTTGATAGTGTCCGTGAAAAAAAAAAATTTGACATTTAAAAATACGATTTTATGCATCAAATAAAGACAATTTAAATTAAAATAAAATAGGTATTATGTTATAGGACTCGTGAAAAAAAGAGAAATTTTGACATTTGAAAATAAGAATTTTGTGTTTCAAATAAAATCAATTGTTAACTAAAATAAAATAAATATTTTACTGATAATGATCTGTAAGAAAAAAAATTGTGGCATTTGCAAATAAGAATTTTGTATCTCAAATAAAGACAATTGTTAATTAAAATAAAATAGATAATTTTTTGATAGTGACATGTGAAAAATAATTTGACATTTGAAAATAAGAATTTTATATCTCAAATAATAAAAATTATTAATTAAAATGAAATAGATTTTCCTCTGATAATGATCCGTGAGATAAAAAACTATTTGTGTATATGGCTATTTAGTATTATCTAATTTCATAAAATAAAATTTTAATTTTATTAAAGTTTAATACTCTTTTGATCCTATTTATAAAAAAATGTTCATTTTTTAGATACGTTCTAAATATATGTTTATTCAATATATATATAAAAAGTAATTTTTTTATTATAAATAGGACTAGAGGTAGTATAGATTAATTAATATTTTTAATAATAATAAATAAATATAATTGATTAAATTTGTAGTAAAAATAAAACTAAATATCAATATTGTATATATTTATACACCGATAAATTTAATATGATAATTATATAATATAATTATATATTTTAATTTATTAAAAATAATTAAGAAAAAATAAAATAATTAGATAAAAAAGATAAATAATAAAATGAAAAAAATAAATATAAAATAAATAAATATAAAATAAATAAATATAAAAAAATAAATATAAAAAAATAAATTTAATTTGAAAGAACAATGAGATGGTGAGTGAAAGAGTGGGTGAAGTGAAAGAAAATTAAAAGTTGAAAAAATGTCAAATAGTAACTTGACACTTGATAATATTTGGTTGAAGTATGATGAATTAATTGAGAGATTAGATTTTTACTATTTTAATCTTTTGTAAGTGTAAAACAATTTAAAGTGAAAGATATTATTGATAAGTTCACAATTTAATGTTCGTTCATCGTATTTGCTCATTCACATGTTGTCCTTCATTAGTCATGTCTTACTTCAAACTTCATTTTGATTTCGTAGAGAAGATTTAACACTCATGTTTTCTATTTCTAATAAATAACATGTAAGAACACAAACTCAACAAAATCACGTGAAGCCTTTTTTTATAGAGTTTTTTAGTATTTTAGTTCAAATATTACTTGAGCCAATAAAAATTATACACGTGTCAAATTGTTTTCAGTCATTGAAATTTAGTTAGATTTTGACCATGGATAAGAAAATCAAAATGGATGAACTTGGGGGCTAAAATAAAATAAAAAAGGGTCAAAATCACATAGTTGAAGAACTCGAGGGTAATACTGAATTTAAGCCCACAAAAAGTCGCTATATATGGTTCAAATATTTTCTTTTTTCTCTAGTATAGGCACATAACGAGTAAGTTTAGAATTGTATGAATAATTCAGTCCAAGCTTTAGAGGTTACTATTTTGAGACTCATTTTTGGCCAATTTATATATGGATTGAATGAGTTGTAGATAAATGGTTTGCGAGTTTTCAATTGGATTGAAGCTTGTATAAGGTCAAACAACTAGAAAATTTTCAAAACAAAAGCAAAATAAGAATTAGAATGAGTTAGGTGAACAATTTATGACACCTTCATTGTGATGATTGTTATGAACATGACATCCATGGAAGGAGGGAGAGAAAAACTTGAAACTCTTTGTATTGATCAAAATAGAATATTACAAATGAGTGAAAAAATGTCTTATATACTACTATTTTACTAGGACAAATATGTAACAAACCTATATCTCCAATAGTCTCCCACAAGTTATAAAGTGTGCACAACACTTCCAACTTGAGATGAGCAATGGGAAATTATATATAACAAATTAAATACGATTAAATCAATGCTTAACCAACATATGACATAAACTAATATTAACAAAGCCATGTGGTCATATGCTTAACCACCAAGCAGAAACTATACCTCAAATGTTTAACCGCTTGACAGAAGCACAACACCAAAGTCAATTAAGGCACAAAGCTTAACCATCAAGAATACAAAACATTCAAGACAAAAGCACAACAACAATGCTTAACTATCCATGGTAGAAGTTCAAATGAAGACTTTAACCACCATGGAAAGAAGCTCACAACAAGTCAATAAGGCTAAACATCGACATCAAATAGGGTAATAAATAATAAAATAATGGGTCAATGGAAGAACATATCCATGTAAATGTGTCCTCAAACCATAGGAGAAACAAATGCATGTTGATTCATTTTCAAACCATAGGCCAACAACCCAAAGCTTTCAACTATAGAGAAACTAAGAAAGTAATAAATCATCAAATCATCGTCGAAAATCCATAGCCAATGAACAAAAGTGAAATATCAATATGAAGGATTGTAATGTGTTGAGTTTCTATGTTGATCAGAATGAAATGGCAATCAATCACCAATAGAATAAGAGAAAATTTCAATGAGCGGAGGAAAAATCAAACAATCCAAGACTTCTAACTAAGAACCCAAATTTGTCTTCTCAACATGCACAATTATAGATAAACCAAAAGTAAACAATATGCAAATCTTATGCTTCATATTGTTGGTGCACAAAGAAGAGATGAAAGGCAAAAGAAATATATTTAATGACGACTACAAAATAAGGAATAATGATTTGCAATGAATTTATATAGGGCTACCTCACTAGGCTATTTATACACAAAATAAAATTCTAAATATCCTCTAACAAATATATAAAAAGATATGATAATATCTTCTAAAAGGATATTCCTAAAATATAGATTAATATCCAAAATATATTCCTAAAATATAGATTAAACCTAATACCATCCCTTAATTTATATTTTATCCAAAACTGACAACACCAATCTCATCGCTCAAGCGAAGAAATTGATCAGTCTTGATAGTCTTTGTTAGAACATCTGTCAGCTGCTTCTGGATACTACAATGCACAACTTCTAATATTCCGCTCTGAACTTGATTCCTCAGAAAGTGATAT